GTGTGAACACACACACACACACACACACACACACACACACACACATTATCTTACATCATGAAAAAAACACCCCAGTAAATCCAAATGACAAAAGCAATTGAAAAGCACAAGGCAGAGGATGGATGCAAGAATATTTCCAAGTCAGTGAATATACCTCGTAGTAATTAAACCCATAATTGAAAGAGTGGTTTTATCCTCAAAAACCGAGTGACGTGGAGGAGATGCTGATCAATGCCTGACAGAGCTGCAGACTTCACTAGCTGAGAATCGACAAAAACATCCAATGCCGAGAGCTTCACACAGCGTGAGCACAACGACAGAGCGGAGGCCGGTGTTAAATGACACATGACATCTGAGCTCCAGTTCGCCAGGAGGCGTCTGCCTTCAGCTGGGAGAAGCTGCCGTCTGATCAGACCAAAGTTGAGCTTGTTGGCCATTAGATGAAACGGCGTAAACAAAATACTGCACATCATCAGAAACACGGCGGCCAACCGTGAAGCAAGATGAAGGTGGCGGCGTCACACTGCGGGACAGTTGCAGGTGCATGAGGGGAGATAAACGCAGGCAAACTGGATGGAGTCACCAAGACACCTGGAACCCAGAGAAGATTTGCTTTCCAGCTGGATGCTGAAACATTAAGCCAAATCTATGCAGGAACGGCTTGAAAGCAGCGATGGTTGCCAACTCAGAGTTCAGACATCAATCTAGTTCATCTTTTATTAGTGGACCTAAATAAGACTGCAGAAACCTGACTGAGCTTGAGATGTTCTGCAAGGAATAATCAGGAAACATTAGTGGCCAGATGTTCAACACTAAACACCAAAGATGCATGTAGTAAACACTGGCGCAAGGGGGTGAATACTTATGCAACTGATTGTATTAAGTCTAAAAACTTCACTTTAAAGAATATTTTTCTGTTGATCAGAATGAAAAACACCAAATCCGTTCTCTGTGCTTCAGTCGATTTAAACCAACAAAATGGCCTGTGTGAAATACGACTGAAGCTGCGCTCGATAACGTTGGGACCTCTGGGAACACTTTTGGGCCAAATGTACTCAATTGTTTACTAAACACACTTTGCTGTGTACAATATCAGCACAAAACCCCTAGTCTTGCATTCGTCTCAGCTCAAACACTAATAAATCCACACAAGTGCAAAAACAACAGTTTATTTACATTGACATTCAGGATTAAAGTGAGGGCACAGACATTTATAATGTTACTGAAGATTTATATTTCAAATAAATGCTGTTGAATGAAATGTATATTCATCAAATAATCCTGAAAAACAAAATCAGCATATTAGAATGATTTCTGAAGATTATGTGACACTGAAGACTGGAGTAATGATGCTGAAAATACAGCTTTGATCACAGAAATAAATTACAGTTTAACAGATATTAACATGGAAAACAGCCATTTTAAATTGTACAAAATATTTCAGTTTTTACTGTATTTTTGATCAAACAAATGCATTGGTAAGCAGAAGATTTTTGTAAAAATCTTTTGAAGTTTTGAAAAAAATAAATAAATAAATAAAATATATATATATATATATGTGTGTGTGTGTGTGTGTGTCTTGAATGCATATATGTCTTGAATGTATATATTTCAATATATATCGATATAGATATGCGTGTCTTGAATGTAGACTCATGTATAACATCTGTAAAACATCACATGTCTCTATTTCTGCTTCAGTCTGTTCATGGCTCTTGTAGGGAATCCAGTGGCTTTGCTAATGTAAATGTCCTCTGTGGTGATTTCTCATCAAAAATGCAACACCATTTGATCACGCACAGTCTGACTGAGTTATTCTTTAATGCATTTGCTCTATTCATTGAATGTGAGATCACTGATATTCATAGTTTGCGTCTGAGTCGCTGCAAAGCCACGTCTGACATATTAAACACTGTGGCTTCCTGTCTGGAAAGGAAGTTTTGCAACGTCACTGTCTGATTTACCGACAACTCAAGAGTGAGAGCTTAGAACTAAATATGAGATCTTCGACCAAGTTTAATAAATAATGCATGGTTCTGTGGAAGTTAATGCCCATTTGAAGAACAGATTCTGACACCTATTGACAAAACAGTTTCTCTTTTTTGTCGCAGAGGTTAAGGTTACGCAGGTCAATGAAATATCTGGCAACATTTAATGCACTTAAAGGGATAGTTCACCCAAAAATGAAAATGTGATGTTTATCTGCTTACCCCCAGGGCATCCAAAATGTAGGTGACTTTGTTTCTTCAGTAGAACACATTTGATGATTTTTAAGTCCAACCGTTGGAGTCTATCAGTCTTATAATGCATGGCAATGGTAACAAAATCTATGAGAGTAAAAAAAACATGCACAGACAAATCCAAATTAAACCCTGCGGCTCGTGACGACACATTGATGTCCTAAGACACGAAACGATCGGTTTGTGCCAGAAACCGAACAGTATTTATATCATTTTTTACCTCTAATTCACCACTATGTCCAACTGTCTTTGTGCGCCCGCACGGCTTCCAGTGCGTGCGGTGTGTACGCAGCTTGAAGGGACTAGACGACCCAGCATCCTTGCCCGACGGCCGTGTAATGGGTGCGGTTCTCTTCCGGACTGCGGGTCCGGCAGCTCACTAAAGTCACCTACATTTTGGATGCCCTGGGGGTAAGCAGATAAACATCACATTTTCATTTTTGGGTGACCCTTTAATGGACGTCACGAGTGATACTGTTAAAATGTCTGGCAACGTCACTGTTTGGATCATTGCTCTTTAAGTGTCCTCAAGTGGCCTTATTATCACATGACGGGCAACATAAATCAAAGCAAAGTTATTACTGAGAATATGAAGGTTAAAATGATCATTTGACAGCAGCTCTAGTGGTCGAAAATGAATAGTGAGCACAAAGTAATTTTAGTTCATGGGATTTAAAAACAGATGTGTAAAAAAGGGCTGGGCTTTCTTGAATTATAATTTTTAAGGAGAACACATTTACATTCACTCATTTGACAGGTGACTTTATTTAAACTAATGTTTTTTTTTTATTTAATTAAATTTTAATTGTATTTAATTATTACAAATGTAAATATTATTAATATAATCATTATTTTATTACATTATAAATACATATATACATACATATAGATTACAATTAAAGTTGTATTACATAATAATATAATTATTATACTGCATATATATATATATATATATA